ATTATACTCAAAGGGCCAGTAAATATCACCCGGGGGCCGGATTTGGCCCGCGGGCCGCCAATTGAATAGCCCTGCTGTATGGTGTCCTTTTTGTTGTTCTGTTTATGTTTTTATGTTTCATGTGGAACCTACTTGAGCAGGTCTCCCTTGAAAAAGAGATCAATGATCTCCATGGGATACACCTGGATAAATAAAGGTTTGAATGAATGAAAAAGACCCTTAGCGGGATATAAATACTTGTCCAACCCAAAATTTAAGAGTTTGATTTAAAAAAAGTTACTAAAGGAAATAATTTGTTTTAATTCACAGACAAAAAGCTCAGTTATCAACGAGGCAGAGACACAGTCTCAGGAACTCACATGATGAACTCGTTAGGCTGGCAGACGACTGATGCGACCCCCCCCACGATGATCCAGGGGTTGATCACAGTCTGACCGCCTGTCACAGAAGTGCCCCCCTCCTCTGCTGCATCACGGAAGCCTTGAATCATGATCGGCATCACCCGCTCACGGTCCTGACACACACACACACACACACACACACACACACACACACACACACACACACACACACACACACACACACACACAATAAGGAGTCATGCAAGGAGACTTTATAACCCCGAAGAGTTCAACAGAAACAAGCCAAAGCTTTGTTAAAAGGTATATGGCACTATAATGTAGATGGGAGGAAACGTGACAATAATAACACCTTGACATCCACACACCTTTTCATTCATCTTCTGGCTGACACTCAGCAGCATCAGCATGTTGTCACACTCTGTGATGCCCATGGCGTAGAGATCACTGAGGACGTTAGCACACGCTATCCTGCCCTGAGAGACAGACAGAAAGACCAAATATATAGTCAAAATATAAAACATGATATAGGTCAATGGTTGTGGTGTAAAAAGTTCTCGAACATCAATCTGCTGCTAAAACGGATGATTTTTAACAATGACAATCTGAATCATTAAGTTTCAAAATAGAAAGTGGCTACCTTAGTAACTTTTTAATATTCATAACAAAATCAAACATGAAAAGGAGCTTTAGGTTGAAAGTCTGCTTATCATCGATTTATTTCATTAAAGAACAAAAACAGAAAAAGGAAAATGATTACGGTGTTTTATTGTTTTTGGCTTGGGGGGGGAACACATGTGAGCCATACCTCTTACAAAACACTGTGGACCATGCACATTCTACTTTAGATTTTGCATATTTGTATTCAATATTACCTCTAGATTAAAATTAACTTAAAATTCTGGTAAACTGCAAACATTTTGTTTTTCATGGTATTTTGTCAGAATCTTGCTGTAGATGTATATACCTTTTAAACATTTAGATTTATTTTGATCTTTGTTCAAATTAACATTTTCTTACAACCTAATTCCTCTTTCTGTGTGGACCATTGCTCTGACCATTTCCTTTAGGTTAACAAGACTAATAGAATGGAAATGTGGAAGAATTGTCGATGGTTAACAGTAATCTGACTGAAAGAGTTGAAACTTGCTGTTATTGAGGGACAGAGACTGATGGTCGGCTGGAGCTCCATCAGTGTGCTTCTGACCACGTTCTACCTGTCAGGCTGTGCTTCAGAGCATGCTGTGCTCTGGCATCTTCTGCATGTAGATTACAAGATCAACTGATATGAAGACGTGTTGCAGGCAGCGCATGATCAGTGTCAGCATGCAGATGTCAGCTGAGCATCCTCAGTGATCCTGACCCCCCCCCCCATGTGAGTGGGAATTAAGCATATGGGATATATACACAGCTCAGAAGTAATCCCTTACATAATGAAAAGTCTGCTTTTTAAAAAACAAGGTTGCTCGATTAAAATACAAACTCAAAGTGGACCTATCATGCTATATTTGAAGCTCTTCTATGACATGATGATTTTCTAATGCTATCTTTTATAATTATGTTTGTTTAAACAGAGATAGACTGAAGTGTTATACAAATAAGTGTCCAGTTCCAAACATCTGTCATGAAACATTGAAAAAAATATAGGTATATTAAAATAAGATTTTTCTAAAGAAATGTGAAGCTTTGTGCCGTACATCTCTACTCCTTTCTTTACTGCTAAACACGCTCAAATCCTCAAATAACTTTGCCTAATAGTTAAAACAGTGCTGTTTTATGATACCTATATAACAAATATGATGACTTTTTTGTACCTCTGCACCTTGACCACATAAATGTGTCTATATGGTGTGACGCAGAGAACTGCTTCACTATGGACTGATGGCTTTGGGCCAGGTGATTATGCGCACCTGGGGCCCTGGGTTGTCCCTCCCCCCCTTCACCTGTGTCTAATTGTTTTCCCTCACCTGTGTTTGATTCGTCTGTTTATTTAAGTGCTTTCTTTTGTTTTGCTGGAGTCAGTGTGTGTGAGCTGCTGGTGGCCGCAGGCTGGGCACGTGAGCAGTTTATTGTGGCTGTGTCATTGTGTGTGATCTAACATTGGGTTGATCAGTTAATAAATGCCCCGTCGGGTTATATTTTTGGATTCTCTGCCTCTGCCTCCTTGCTTGGTCGGGCCGCTCAACGGTCAGTCTCACAAATGGTGTCAGAAGTGGGATTCGACCAAGTAAGGAGAATTATGGGAGGAAAGAAGAGGGACCAAGGAGAGGAACCGCGGCTGGGGGTGGCTGTGCCTGGAACTGACCAGGGGGCCACGGCTACTGAGGCAGCAGGAGACAAGAGACAGGCAGCACGAGCTGAGAGACAGAACGGACGAGCTACCGGAGTAGCTAACGGACGAGCTACCGGAGTAGCTAACGGACGAGCTAACGGACGAGCTACCGGAGTAGCTAACGGACGATGGATTCTCTGCCTCTGCCTCCTTGCTTGGTTGGGCCGCTCAACGGTCAGTCTCACATATGGGATAATAAAGTTCACCTTGACCTTGGTTATAAGCAGGTACCTGGAATATGTGACTTTAAGAGAACATTTATGGTGATTTGAAATGGATAACTAAGTTACATTTTAAGACAGGAGGAGTTCTGTTAATAACAGACAGTAACTTTCACTGTCAGGTGGCAGGTGGACTGTAGCCTGTTGTATGTATGCAGGAGTGACTACTACAATACTGCATTTGCAGAAACAGGCTGTCATACAAATTGTTTTGCAAGATTTTATATTTGATTGTCCTCACCTATGTGCTTTCAAGCATGGGAGTTAGGGCTGTACCCGAATATTCGACTATTGGAATATTCGTTCGTGGCCAACTATTCGGGTTTCAATTTCATTATTCGGATATTCGTACCCGGGTACACCCCGAGAGGGACCACCGTCGTTGCTTGAAGAAGCGATGGGGAACCCACAACCCAGGATGGTACCTACCACTCGAAGGGGGTGGCGAGACGGTTCCACCCTAAAGGAGACAACCGGGAAGGTAATCAAGGTTATACGGGGGGTACCGATTTCCGCACAGGGGTTCTTGCCTAACATAAACACTACGCTTTAATCGGTGTTGGGGTCCGGGGGTGGGGGATAAGTAAGCCACGTAAATCACAAACAATTTTCTTCGTTTCAACATCAAATTTACGAGAATAAGGTAGAAGAATAGTGGACGACAACGCGAACGGTAATAGAAAGTATTAAAGAATTTTACCAGAAATCCCGGGATAACATATAGACATTAGACGGTGACGTCGAACAGAAGGAGAGTCCTACTAAGGACTCGCAAAGACCTTCAGGACAAGGTAATGTTACGAACGAAACGGAAACACGACGGGGAGGGCCCCGGAGGGGGAAACTGTTTATACTCCTCCGGTACAACCCAGACCACCGGCATGAGACACAAAAGTGTACATTTAAGTCTAAGTCGTTGTCAAGAGACCTTGAGAAAGACTGAAATCATTAACACGTCATAGATTTACAAATACCTAAGAATAGTACAACACAACGATCCACTTCGCTTCAGTGATGAGGGTAATCCCGACAGGGCTACGGTAAAAAAGCCCGAGCCATGGAGGCCCGATCGATAGTCGTCAGGCTTATAAGCCACGCCTACTCTAAAACATAACAAAATAAAATTTTTTCTGACAAGTTTTTTGATAAAAAAAAAAAGTTTTTCCAAAGTAAAATTGAATGCGAAAGGCTGAGCTCCGTGGACTGCTATTGACTGACAATATCGTCTTCGCGTCTTTCATCAGTAGATAAGCCTAGATAACGACATCATAAATAAAATAACAAGAAGTCCAAACTCCCTACCAGTAACATTCTTATAGAGAAATTAGTAGTAGCACTCTGCAATATGCAGATTAATAGCTAATTACAGCAATTGTACAATATGACAGTATTTTATGACAATACCGCATAACATTGCAGGTGGCGCTGTCCAGCATTACTGCTCCTACTCGCAATACTAGAAATGCGAAATAAACGCGCAATGATCTTCACACAGCGACAACACCGGCCCTGGTGCGAGTTATGTTGGTTTTAGTTATGTTAAGCAGAGGAGTATGTTAGCGCACCGACGAGAACAGAGAGCAGGACACATCTAGTACGCATCGAGAAAGAGTGGATGTGCGTGCGCCGCGAGCGGCGGTCAGCGCGCACTGTGAGCCCGGACGCGGTTTTGCGCGCGACCGACGGACGGAGGTGGGCCGGCCCGGAGACGATTGAGCGAGAGGAAGGTACTTCGAGACCCGAGAATCTCCGTAGGATCAATGTCATGTGCACTATGTAATACAGTCCAAGCCCACCTATAGTCATTGGTCTTCGACTCTTTTGATAGTGAAAATACAAATAAATTAGCAACCGTTTACAATTTGTTTTCTTATAGGCGGCATGCGGAGGCACGCAGTAATTTCTTAATCTCGGTCACAAAGAATTGTGTTTTTTGTTTTAATTCCAAGTAGGCGAGACGAAATAATCTGTATATTTGTTTACATTTACAAAAAAAATACTTAGAAGAACACATAACACAGTTTGTATTGTTATATATAACAGACGACATCAGCAGCCCTATAATTGTTTATTAACTACGGTACAACAAGAAGTTTAAAGCTTTAATATATAAATGTTAGGGGATAAAATCTGTATCTTAGTAAATTGAATAAGTTATCAATAGTCTGAATAAGACGACAAATTTACACAAACGTTTGTCACCATTTGTCTCTGTTTACGAGACCTCACAGCAGCCCCCGATATGTTTATTCATACGGTCCAAGAGTTGTTTTATTTATGTTAAGGCGGGAAAAGAGCTAATATTGAACATTGATTGTTCATCAATTTGTGTTTTGTTAATTGAGGCCAATATCCGAAGCCAAACCAAGACTAGATTATCCGATAGACCCCAATCCACGAACCAAAAAAAAAAACCCCATATCGAATGAATTCGGATGACCAAAACCAACTCCTTTTAATCGTACATATCTGCCCCTACCGAGCCCCCACTCTCGCCACTTGCCTCAGGCCTCACGCCAAGTCAGGTCGCCGAGGCCCTTTTCTGGAAGGCCGAGACTGCCCTGCTCCAATCCCCCACCCGCCCCGCTACGGTCTACTATCGCAGAATCGAATAAAGCGGCGGACCCTTTGAAAAGGTGGCAAGTGAAAGGTAGGTTAGTCAGCCCCGACGCTGAGGTCCCACCCCATACAGGCGAGCTTTCCAACGACCTCAGAGACACAAGTTACGGCACAGGACAACCCATCCTACTCGATAACCGAGGGGGTCCCCTTCACGGTAGCGTCTTTGCACCGCAATCACCGTTCGACTGTCAACACCCTGAAGGGCGTACTGTTGTGGCGGGAGAGAGAGGGTCAGACACCCTATCGGCGGAGTGGACGGGTCAAGTTAACGGAGAGGGTCAGTTGGGTACAAATCGAATCGGTTAATCAGAGCACACCCACCGCTTTCTTTCGCAGTCTTACGGAACGACCTGCCCCTAAGGTCGTACGCACGGTTAGTAGACCCGCCACGAGGTTGAGCCAGTCTGGTTTGGACATATTTATTTAATATCTTTTTTACAGTCCTAAAACTAAGCTATTTTGCAAAAAACCTTTATACGGTCATAGATTATTCGTTCCGGGTTATTCGCTTGTAACATCGATACCGGATACAGGCAGAGCAAGTAGTCGCCGATAAATAATACTCACGTACAGTTGATTAATCAATCAAATCGGAAGTAAGCCAACGACTCCCCCTCCTGAAGTTAGAAACAGAACTTAAGCCAATAGACGCCAGAGCAAGGAAGAGAGGCGGTACTCTACCACAACTACTCCGAACTCAGGCAATGACCTATTTACAAACTCTACCTCGCAGGAGAGAGCGGTCCTGTACCGTCACGACTGTGGTAATCGACGACGATTGTGATCCCGACACGCAGGAGTACCGGCCGGTCACGAGTAGAAGTCGAGGTCCTGGACCGTAGAACTCGAAACCAGTCCGCAAGACAGGACTACCTCCTTCGTTGTTGTCGGGGTCGGCTGACGAGGTGTCCAGCCGAGTTTGTAGAGTGTCTGCTGCAAGGGGCACAAAACGTGCTACTTATTCGGCCACCCCACCGCTCCGGGTAACGAGGACGCGAAGAGAATCGCGTACCAAGTCCCGAGAGCCTGATTGAAAAAGTGTAGAGGGCCTTGCAGCCAGAGGCTTTGATGTTAGATCCGGCAGGGCTTTAATATAACACCTGGCAGGGCTTAAATTTTATATCAAAAGAAGATGAATAGTAACAGATTTGAAGTTCACACTGGAAATTGTATTTATCTCTTGTAGTAATGTGTAGTCAATCCTAAATTAAGTAGTGGAAAAATAAACCTCGAATTCTTAGCTCGAGAGTAGTGACTGTTTCCCGGTTTATATAAATGTGTTTGTGTGTTTGCTCCTTTAACTACGATTATAACTTAAGTTTAAGTTCAAGGGTAGGTTAATTTGTTTTTTAGGTTGTGAGACAGGACTTCTGTCCTTGGGTCTCATGGTGCAATGGTCCCTCCTGTCAAGACAATTGTGCCAGTCCTGGAATGTTTGAACCGGGGCCTGCGCCCGACCGTGTGTCTGCCCCCTCTAAGACGCAGACGCTAACCGTTTCGAGCCTTTTCGTAGTATCGCGTACAACATCCAGAATTAACGTTATATCTTGCCCTACACCTATTTGATTTTGACAATATTCAACAAAACATCGTTACTAGCATAGAACCTGTATAAAAAAATTTACGAGTCGGATCGGCTATATTTCAGTCTCATTGCAGCCTCGGGACAATCTGCAATGGTGACAAGAAACCGCCGGGCCCGGCCACGGACCATTATGCCCCCGAGCCCCCCCACTGGAGTAGCGATGTACCCCCTCTCGCTACTATAACGATTCCGATTATGCTACCCTCCCAAGATAGAGTCGAAATGCGTATCCCCTACTTGCCTACCTCCAAGTCCTTATTCTCCGGCCGACGAGGTCCCCAGCACTCAAGACGGACCCACGCCACAAAAACCTACGATTGCCCAATTTTTGTAAAAGCGGCAGGTTACCCCCGCCACCAGGTAGTGCAGTTGCGCGCTCTTGTGTGGAGACTCCATGTATCGCATGACCATCTAATTCGCGGCGGCTTCCAAACGCCCCGTCCTTAAAGCGCCCGTGTCGTCAGACCGACGCCGACCCGACTGGTCGGTACCCCGTGTCAGAATGCCACACACTACCCGCAAGAACAGACGACAGCACCCAGACAAGCAGACAGACAACACACAAAGGCACAATACAAAACACCATCAAATACGAACTGTCTCTCCATAATTATTGACCACACGGATGTGTGTTACAGAACGTCAGCTCAAAGAAAAGTAGCGGGCCAACAACAATCACCTCCAATCGTCCATCAACAAATAACCATTGTGAGAGCAGGGTTTAACGCAGGGTTCTAAATAAAAACTAAGGAAGGGAACTGTAGATAAAAAAGCCCGGGCCCTGCTCCTGCAGAGGAAATCGAGTCTAGGACGTACCAACGGGTCAACGAACCACTAATTCACCGATTAGCCCTCACAATGGTCGCACAGGTCTCCTTGGGCTACGTCCTATCCTCGTTGGGCAGTAACATACCCAGATTAACGCCCCTCATCATAACACGACTTTCGTTCCGTTGCTCTGTGGAGTCGACTGAACCCACCCCATAAAACCGTCGGCATTTACAAACCGGCGAACCAAAACAGCCAACGCTGCGTCTCGGCTACTTGAGACCGGACAGTTAGGGGGCACGAAGATGTCGAAGTACGCTACAGAGAGTCGGACTCTTGCCAGACACCGTCCATACGGCGGACCTTCCAGAAGTCCCACTCGACTCCTGACAGGCGGACTTAAGTAACGGTCAACACGTTTACATCCCGTCAACTTTACCATCCGAGAAGCGCCATCACGCTTGCTCCAGAAAACACCATATCGTTGTGATCCGACGACGACCCATTGAACAAATCCTCGGAGGACAAAGCGAGGAAAAATACCACACAGTACATGGAAACACCACTATCACACGGCGACTCCCTTAGACTATGCCGACGCCAAGTCCATTTGCGATTCCGGTGTAGAAGAATTTTAGGAAAGGGAGCCCTGCTGTGAACACCCCTTCTACAGGTGAAGTAGTAAACCGGATGAAAGACATAAAGAGGCGGGCGGAAAGCGTAGTGCGAGGAGGCCCAAAATTTTACTCACTTACCACCCGACTTGCCATCCCAAGTCACGGAGACATTGTGCGACCTACTTCCGAGAAATTCACCATGTAGTAGCCTCACATACAGCACACCATGAACGATTTGGCGACCAGCGTCACATGATGTCACGCGCGCGTGAAGCAAAAAATAGAGTTTTACCAGTAGTGGCCTGAAGCAAAGCGCGCGAAGTACAACAATAGAACACTACATTCGTCCGGAGCGTCCTTCGAAAGAGACGACAGTCGGCTGAGGAATGGCGCTAAGCGGACGACCAGTCCACAAAATATGGCTAGTAGCTAATTCTTATTATGCTTTAGGCTGTTTTAGGAATCGCCTAGGTTAATAGCAGTAGCTAATTAGTACCGGGTAGGGGATCAGAGAGCATGAGCGTTTCTATCACAGACGACATAAAACTCCTACAACCTTACCGACCCTAACGTGGATAAAACCTGTGTTCTAATAATGCCCGACTCGATGAGTTGAAATACGGTAACGGAATGGGGGTCTACAAGGGTGTATTGAGGATAATAAAAAGTGATGAGCATATTTAATTTTTTTGATTATTATTTTTTGTAAAGCCCTTAACGACGATCGTTGATAACAAGTTCGTTCATACACGTGCAAAAATAGTACACATTGCAATGACAAATTGCCGTCTATTTCGCGAAGATGGTACCGTTTGAACCTGTTGTCGAATTCGAATCGATCCGATGATGAATCGTAGAGTCCACTGAAAACTCTCAACAACACGGTGGCACCATCCGGTCAAAGAATAGCGTATAAACCGGTATAAAGAAGAATGCCAGCAAGTTAAATTTTACCAGGGTGTGGTCCGACTCTCAGAAGCCCCAGTAAAACACACACTTGCTGCCACTTCGCTCCCACTTCGCACGGAAACGCAAGCACTGACAACACTTGCGCTAAGTCCTCCGTTGTCCGACCAACAATATATAAAGACGTAAAAATTGTCACTAAGTTTCATATTTATACATATCTTATACCGGTTAAGCGGAAATAATTATCGATGTAAATCTTTTTTTTTATTATTACNACCTTCCTGTGTGAATACCTGTCTGTCTGATCACCTCTCTGTCTGTCTGTCTGTCAGATCACCTGTCTGTCAGATCACCTTCCTGTTTGAATACCTGTCTGTCCGATCACCTTCCTGTGTGAATACCTGTCTGTCTGATCACCTGTCTGTCTGCACACCTGTCTGTCTGATCGCCTGTCTGTCTGAACACCTGTCTGTCTGAACACCTGTCTGTCTGATCACCTGTCTGTCTGATCACCTGTCTGTCTGATCGCCTGTCTGTCTGAACACCTGTCTGTCAGATCACCTGTCTGTCTGATCACCTGTCTGTCTGATCGCCTGTCTGTTTGATCGCCTGTCTTTCAGATCGCGTGTCTTTCAGATCACCTGTCTGTCTGATCACCTGTCTGTCTGATCACCTGTCTGTCCTCACCTTCTTGAGGCTGGATCTCTTCATTTTCTCTGCTCTGGATTTCTCCATGTTCTCCAGATCTTGAGGCCACGCCTCCTCTTCCTCTTCTAGCTCCGCCTCCAGCCCCTCGTCCTCGTCAGATGATAGGTCGATGGTGGAGAGCCCGCTCTCCTGGACGCGGTTACCGTCGACAACGCCCTCCGTTAGCTCCTCCCCCTCCTCCAGGATCTCATCCCGAGGGAATGGGGGGGGATCCTTCAGGTAGACCGAGGACGGGATCTCGTTCTCCTCCTATGAACAGAGGAACAGCAACGTGGGTTTAAAGGAACCTTAGCGTTAGAAGGAACCTCAGCCCAGGTTAAAGGAACCTCAGTCCAGGTTAAAGGAACCTCAGGTTAAAGGAACCTCAGCCCAGGGTAAAGGAACCTCAGGTTAAAGGAACCTCAGGTTAAAGGAACCTCAGCCCAGGTTAAAGGAACCTCAGGTTAAAGGAACCTTAGGTTAAAGGAACCTCAGCCCAGGGTAAAGGAACCTCAGGTTAAAGGAACCTCAGCCCAGGGTAAAGGAACCTCAGGTTAAAGAAACCTCAGCCCAGGGTAAAAGAACCTCAGTTTAAAAGAACCCCAGCCCAGGTTAAAGGAACCTCAGGTTAAATATATAAAATGCTGATATTTTTTGCCAAATATCAGCACTTTCTCTCTTTTCATTTCTTTGCACAGATTGCAAAGTGGCAAAGTGTTATAACTTATTGTTCTAGCAAAGGGATTGACCACACAGACTTATGGGGCATTGTTGTATTATCACTGTTCTAGCAAAGGAATGCTCACGTTCATATTGCTGTTTTTTAATAAATGTTAACTTGGCCCATTACGTGACTATTTGTGTCCAAAGGGGGGGGCCTGACAGAGGAAGTTTGAGAACCACTGGGTTAAAGGAACCTGAACTCAAGTTCAAGGAACCTCAGGTTAAAGGAACCTCTACTTGGGTTAAAGGAACCTCAGGTTAAAGGAACCTCTACTTGGGTTAAAGGAACCTCAGGTTAAAGGAACCTCTACTTGGGTTAAAGGAACCTCAGGTTAAAGGAAACTCAACTCAGGTCGAATGAACCAGGGCCGCCCCTCCCTACACGCAGAACATGCAGAACACGCAGAGCCTCATCTTAGCTCCACAGTTGCCCCGCAGCGAGGTCCTAACAGATCACAAGCATTTGATTCCGTTGAATGTTAAAGATCCCTTGTCATGCTTTTCTGATTCTTACCCGTCCCCTTGTGTTCTGTAGCTTCTGCATGTAAACGGTCTGCAGAGTCACAAACCCTCAAAGTACACCCTGTAGAGAGTAAAACTCTAACGCAGAGAAGACCTGTCTATGCTGCCCCAGAACGCCTCGTTGGACATTTCTCTTTTTCCATTGTTTACTTCTTGGGTACAGTGACGTAACGTAACATGTTAACGTAACATGTTAACGTAACATGTAACATAACTGTTACGTTTGAACCAATCTGCGGACTTGCTCACACACACACACTCGGCGGGATGTTGCGAGGCTCGCTGCTGCGAGGAGCGGGACACTGTGAGCTGACTCACTGGTGTGGGGTCGGCGAGACAGCGAGACACAGCGGAACTCAGCCTGAGCACAAACACAAACTCCCAGCCAGGCTGCGGGTGTGTGCGTGTGTTCGGGCTGGGTTTCGCTGTGTCTCGCCGACCACTGGGCTTACAGGGAGGGGGGGCGAGGAGCTCCAACAAGCCGTTTAGGACAGAGAGTGAATACACATACTATACAGAGATGC